CGTCAAATTAACGTTCAGTATATGGCTTTTCCGGAACTTTCGTTAACTATTCATTCTTTATCTCTCGAAAATATCAATGTCTGTCAGTTCCTATGCGCGGGTCGGACGGTAGTTTCGTGTGTGTGGGTGTGGGTGGTTTTATGTCAGCGCACCGACCAATAACTTATCGCATACATATTTTGACCTGGTGGCCATGAATTAACCCTTTATATCAAACCACTGATGTACCTAGCTCTTTTAATGTTCTGATGTTATAAGAACTACAAATATTACTTAGGGTTTCGACGTATGAGGAACTGACAGCTTAACTAATTCACTTATGAAATTTTGTATGATAATCTTAAGTGGCACTTAAAACCCGTTAGTGATTTACAAAGGAGATCACATATGGAGCAAATGTGAGGATTGTGAGATGAGATAACTCTTAGATAGGCTGATATTTTAGATCTTGCTCTCGCATCTTGAAGACGATTCAGGCAAGCAGATTGAAAACTGCTGAGTCCAGTAGAGCACGTTGATCTCCATTCTACCCGCTCCAAGGCTAAGCGCTCAAGAGTGTTATGTGTTATATTGACAGCTGACAAGTAATATACATAGCAATATACGATATTAAATATTATGTACTTGATGTTTTTGAAGTTCATAGCGTAAATTTTAATAACCTTAGTGTACTATTTTTATTTCCTTCAATGCTACCATTACTACCCTTGTGGTCTTTGGCTATTAGTGCGTAAAGCGTAAGAACTGTTTAATACTGTGTTTGGTAACCAGTAAAGAAATCTTGTCAGTGCTAAGCTGTGGAAAAGCGATTGCTTATCAAGAACGAATTAAGAATTCGTTAATACTGACGCAAACCTTATTTCTACTACAAGGAATAAACAGGCTCCGCTTAAAATGTATAAATAACTCACAAAGCAATGGCTAAAGACGTAGTTATAATAACTGACCATAGTTATATTTGTTAGAAGAATAATTTTAACCAAATATGACATAGGTAAGAAAGATACGCCGCATTACCAAGTGACAACGGATTAAATTATAATAAATTAAATAATAATAATTTATAATTAAATAAATAATAATATTTTTATACACGAGAAAACGTGTATTAAAATATCAACTTCCAAATCAAATATACATCAATACATTGCTTACATATTTCTGTTGCTTCAAGGTATATAAGTCATGCCTCAGTTTTAAATAATCCATCAATCTTGAAACATTCAAAATAAATTACATGAAATTTTAAGTTAATGCTATTTCTAAATTGCTGAACTTTTATTTATTAAAACGGGCAGACTTTTTTCACTTAAACGTTATTTTGTTTTAGTGGATTCCTACATTTGAGTAGACACTGAGTTTATTTATCAAACTGAATATTTATTTATGTTCGTCTACCGGCGGAATATTAAAAAAAAAAAATCGTATTAAAAAAATTGCACTCACCGGCAGGATTCGAACGTGCGTCACTCTGGGCACCGGAAACTGTCCTTAACTTTGACTATCTCGAACACAAAGTGCGTCGATAACCAATCTGACTGAATAGTGCCTTATATACGCACTTGTCTCTCAGATTCTCAGTATATATATATATATATATATATATATATATATATATATATATATATACATATATATATATATATATATATATATATATATATATATATATATATATATATATATATATATATATATATATATATTTACTAAAAAAACGAAGTGTCTACTCAAATAGATAACCATTAAAAATAACGTTTAAGTAATAAATTTAATGATATGTAGAAAAACCTCTCAGCAAGGTAGGCTGAACTCTCTATCCTTGGTTGCCAGCCAGTCTCGGATAATGAAAACAAAATTCTGGACGTAGATGTTATTGAAAGCCACAGAAAACAAAGAAACGTAATCTGTGAACAGCCAGATTATTCTCTTTTAATTTTAGACTTGTGAGGTCGAAAAATATGCCGAAAAATCATTTGAAGGAACATCTACAATCTTTTGTAAATGTCAGTCAGAAAACATTACGTCACACTTCCCTAAAAACTGATGTAATAAATCCTAAATAAAAGGATTATATTCTTACATTGACAAACAGGAAGATGTCACTGTCTGTTCACGCAGCCAATAGCAAGGGCAGTAGCTTGAACTCTAGTCAGAAGATCGGCCACAGAGTGTGAGAGCCGAGCTAAACATAGCCGGAGGGAAGAGGTTATCTAGATGATGAGACATGAGTATTGGCAACTTTTATCAGTCGATCGGTCGTTGTCCGTCCGCAGACAAATCAAAACTTTCCCCCGAAGAAATAACGATATTTAATGAAATCGGTAAAGATTTAATACCATGTTACGAACACGCACACCAGACTCGATTTGAAATCTCTCTGTCAATCTTTATTGTTTCTCACCATTACTTACGATTATCCTATCTTTTGCAGAAGAGCACATCAGACGAACGCATACATAGTTTGAACGCGTACATTAGTTTAAAATAGCATTAATTCACTAACGATGCATTCCTCTTTGTAGGACGAGACTGTTTTCGACGTATCAGAGTACAGCAGCTCAGGTGATAGAACAGAACAGCCAGGTCACCCAAGGATATGAATTGATTATATTTGTGCAGAACTGACCACAATTTTTGGAAGAGCCGAATACAGAAAACTGTTGCGCAAAATAAGCCAGAAGTTCCACGACGACCCTCCTCAGGTTTTGAATTCAGAATTGACATTCTCCTAGACCGGTTACCACTCAATGGTATAGGACCCAGGCAGGGGTTAAAACATCCATTAATATTTACAAATTAATACACACACAATCATATATATATATATATATATATATATATATATATATATATATATATGGGGAAACGTTATAGTTATTCCAACGAAAGAAAGATGTATATTTTAAAAAGAAGAGAGAAACCGCAAACCTTTTTAGTTTTAATGTGGATTTAAAAAAAAAATATATATATTATATTTTCCATAATTTTGCTACACGCGTTTCCGGTTTCGCGATCATCTTCAGGCAAAGAGTGTTTATTTCCACAAATTATTAAAATGTATTAATTTTCCTTATGGTTTTCGATGTTAAATATTCTCTTGTTTTGGGTAGTAGTGGCAGGAATGTCTTTCTTGGACTGGTGGTAAGAAAGTTCTTCTCCTTAAAGAGTAATATAACAATTGATATCTCTCCGAGAAAAAGTGTGGAAATATATCTTTATTTTTATCTTTTAATGACCCGTGTATACTTTTAGATCTATTTCCATTTTTGTGTATTTGCATTTTTGTGTATCTGCATTTTTACTAGTATGTACATTTATACCCTCTCTCCATATATACATATTGTCTTATTATATATATATATATATATATATATATAATAGCTGGTCACTCGTATGCAAGCAAGGATACCCGTCTACTAGAGTGGCTAGCCAATCTCTATTGCAGAGGCTCTCTCAGGCGCATTTGTGTTTGCTCAACACCTAGAGAGCCCACCTGTGGTTTATACTGAAACCATGCTGAGGTGACCGTGGTTACAGTTTCTGGGAGAGAACGTGTTATCTAGCGTGACACACGATCTGAACAAGGCAAGTACAATAAAACCCTCGGTCACGATGACTTGAGACTTCGTGCTAGCACAGCTATCGACGGCCGCTAAGGGTTCCGGTTACTTAATTTCACTCACAAGTTTTGGTTCAGCCCATGGTATGGTTTTTCGACACTTTCCAAATGTGCTGCATGCTGGGATCGTCCTCCCTTCAGCCCGATATTACATACATACAGACATACATATATACATAGCCGTTTCCTCACACCAAAACAAGGACAAAAGTCCGCATAAAGTCAATTGCTGGATAGGTAGGGGAGCGCTGTTCCATGGCCTGTACTGATCTCAATTTTTTGAATTTTATCCGTTGGACCCCCTAAAACAATTGGTTTATGCATTAGGCATTATTAATGCAGAGACGCTTGTTATGGTGGCCTGCGATTGACACCGTGTGGGAGTATTTGAAAGTGTCCGCCAGTTAATGATTCGACGGCTGCATGCGGAGGACATTTTGAATATTTTTTATGAGTACAACGGCAGCCTTTTGGACATGTGTTTATATGAACACTTTACTATGTTTTAATGTCAGCTACCCGATCCCAAAGTTTGCAAAAGTATTTTTGGATTGTATCGTGGATTGTATATTTAACAGCATCTAACGTAAATTTAATAACTCAAAAACGAAAGGTTTACAGACATTTGTCCTTGTTTTGGAGTGGGAACCCACCCATAGATTGTAAAAGTATTTTGATGCGCCCTGTATATATATATATATATATATATATATATATATATATATATATATATATATATATATATGTGTGTGTGTGTGTGTGTGAGTGTGTGTATTTACGCAGCATATCTTCATTCAAACATGTTTGATTGAATAATCTGAACATGTCTCTTAATTTTGATTCTAATCCTCTCAAATTCACTGAACAATTTCTTAGTGTTCTTATTCAGCTGATTAAGAAAGACGCCGTCGTTTGGGTTTTTTCTTTTATTTTGCCAAGTACTTTCAGTCACATCCAAGATAATCTCTATGGGTGAATTACTAAGGCAAAGATTAATTTGAAAATGCGCATGAACCGCTCACAGTTATATTCAATTTAAAATTGAAGTCTTAAAAATATGTAAGCGAGGTAACTTAATTTATATTTTTTGTTATTAATGTTTTAAAATACTCATCCAACAATTTAAGAAATTACAATATACGTATTGATTTCGTAGACATTTTAAAACATTGTTTGCTTTACTCATAATTAATCTTATTTAGCGTTGGTTGCAGTTTTTTTATACTTATATATAAACCCTTGCAGACGTTCAAAGTAAAAAAGCAGAAAAACCTTTTAAAAATCAATAAAATCCAACACAAAGTGCTAATAAAATTAAAACTATTTGTTCATACCTAAATTTGATCAATCAACCTGTTTATACGTCAAGTAGAATTTTATGCATCTCTTAAAACCACTTCACAATAATTTTCTTTCCTTTGAGGGAGCTACTTCACACGATATACTAACAGGGAAGGATGTATTATACTACCATTGTATCATTATATTAGACACGTCTGCCTTTCTTTCTTTAGTTCGTTCTTTTACGGATGGCGTTATGTTCATCCTTTTCTTCACCGTTTTATTTCTTTTCATTCTTCCACTGCCCGTTTTATTTTCTTTCTTTCTTTCACTAATTGATTTCTTCCACTGCTTACATTTCCTTCTTTCTTTCTTTCTTTCTTTCTTTCTTTCTTTCTTTCTTTCTTTCTTTCTTTCTCTTCATCATCCTTTTTCATCTTTCCACTACTTGCTTTATTTTCTTTCTTTCTTCTTTTTACTTTCTTTCACTTATTGCTTTCTTCTCTTTCTTTCACTGCCTCCTTTTTTTCTTTATTTACTGATTGATTTCTTTACTTTTTCATTGCTTTCTTTTTTCTTTCATTGCTTGCTTTATTCACTTCCTTCCCTCATTTCTTTCACTGCTTGCTTTCTTTCCTTTCTTTTTCACTTCTTTCTTTCTTTCTTTCTTTCTTTCTTTCTTTCTTTCTTTCTTTCTTTCTTTCTTTCGTTAGTTTGTCACTCTTTATTTCATTTCTTTCTTTCCTTCATTAGTTTATTTCTCTTTCTTTCTTTCTTTCTTTCTTTCTTAGAAAATCAACATCCGAAATATTCCTTGCCTGAGATCGAATGCCAAATTCAGATGGCGACAGAAAAAAAGTACCAATTCCAAGCATAACACGAAAGTTTATTTCAGTCTTTTCAACTAGGAAAAAATCAGGAACTTTTGATATAAGAAGAGTTACGCGTTGATGATCCAAATATAGACTGGGTTTTGTAGTCAGTGTTACCACAGGACGTAAAATGACCTTAACTTCCCGTGAGTCAATATAGGTGACAGGTAAAAGCACCACGTGCAGAATAGGGCCTCAAATGTTGATGATGGGTGAAATCATATAACCAAAGACGTGAACCTAGCTGAACTCACGGCATGCAAGATATCTAAAGACCCCGATTAAAAGAATGGCCCGAAAGGATTTATCCACGATTCGACCGACGTTACGTTGACGGTTGCCAGAACTAAATAAACAATCACTTAACACATGAAAATGTAGTCTTTCATTTATCAGACATTACTAATATAACATTTCACATCAAGGTTTCTATATATGAATCTATGTAAATGGATGAGAATTAGCTGGGCGTTCAGTAAAAGGGATAAATATTATTTAGAGCCAAAAATGGATAGCACGTAATACATAGCTTAGATCGACCAGGTTCTGAAAGGAAATGACTCATAAAAGATTATCGGACTCACTTCACTGAATTCTGGAGAAGGGCGGCTTGGGTGGTTTACCTTGTAGGTTATCCCACTTGATTTTGCTATAAAAACGTCGCTAGGAGGCCCTCCTTATGTTAATAAAATGATGTGCATTTCTCTCTCTCTCTAGCCTCTTTTACAGATTTGTAGCACTGGAGATAAGATGTAATCATACGTGGGTAAAGTGTCATTTTCATATTTATGCTTTAATTTCTGTGAAGGTGAGGCCTGTACAAACGTGAGGTGTGCAACAAATCTAAAAATGAACAAATACGAAGCCCGAACATTTATAAAGTATCTTCAAAAGAAAATGAGGCACGTTGATTTTCAAAGTTTTCTCTCTTGACATTTCTGTTCTCTTACACATGATTGTTACGCAGGCATGAACGCTGACACACCCGCGTGCGCTCAAACAGGCACATTCTTATTATAGCTAATTACATGATTTTACCTTTCGTCACATGTAATTCTTTTTTATTATGTACTAGCAGTAGAGCCCGGCGTTGCCCGGGGATGTAACAGTAAGGGATAGATGAAGTATCGACCATCATAAAGACTGAAAAATAAAATTGACAAAGATTATTGTTTAAGGTTGACGGACACGCATGTCTTAATTATTATTTTTTTTTTTTTTTAAGAATTAGTCAAACCCAAACTCAAACAAAAACATTGTTTTCAATCGTTATGAGTCTATCGATTGAATAGAATTTTATTATAAACAATTGTCTTGTAAATGGAAGTTTTAAAGCATTCTGAATGTAAAAATAAAGAAAAAAGTGTGAAAGACAATAAGAAACACTACCTGCCAAAAAAAAAAGTGGGTTTTGTTGAAATCGGTTGAAAAATGTAGGAAATCCGATCCCATATATAAACGAACACACACACAAACAACCTGGGTTTTATAATAAGTATAACTTGAAATGATTTGTCCCCCTTTTCATTCTGGCGACTTAATCGTGTTTTCAAATTGATTTTGTGCAAAAACAATTGTGTTTTTCCAATTTTGGGCGCTATCAGAACAACCGCAAGGTAACTTTACGCAGTCCTGTGAAACTTTGTTGAAATCGGTTGAAAAATGTAGGAAATCCGATCCAATATATAAACGTACAGGCACACACACACAGACACACATACACACACAATCTGCGTTTTATAATAAGTAAGATGTTCATTTGTTTCATATTTATTGTTTTGTGTTGGTCATTTCTATTTTACATGAACTCGCATCGAGTCCGCCAATATTGTTTGTGGGAGAAATTGTCCAGGTGACCCTAAATATTCACTACTGGTTGCCGCAACAGCAGGGTAATTAAACATTTACCCAATCATACTAGCATTCCCGTATCAAACCGTTTGGGTTTAACTTAATATTAACTAGCAGTATAACCAGTTTGCGACCAGATTACTGGGAATTTTTTGCCGTTCAGTTGTAGCAGTTTAAGTTTAAATTCAGACCACCCGAAATCAATATTAGTAACAACATTTGGGTGCAACTGAAACACATCCCCAAATGTGGAGGAGTTAACAATTTGAATTGGGGGGGGGGACTGAATAGGGAAATGTATAATAATGAATAATATTAATGTAATAATTTAAACTATTTCTTTTTATCAAAGTTTTTGTGAAATATATATATCCAAGAACAGATAGTAAATAGTAAAACGTTGCTGAGAATTCTAATGGACAGGAAGTAGTGGAGAGCCATTGTCGCCCACAATTTGCACTCAAAACTGGCACTGAAGAATTATCTATCAAACAAAACAAAATTAAAATCGGACAAAAACTGTGAAAATGCATAGACAACACACTCGCATACATACAGACAGACACACATTTTGAGAACTATAGATATAGATTTCAAAATATCCCGGCACGTGTTAGGAAATTACTGTTGTACATTGCATTCTTGTGTTAGTGATCAGTGTAAATAAATATTAAAATTTCAAATATTAATTTCTTTTTCATTTGAATATTTAGTGTAGCTCTGTATTTACTAGATTTTTAGCTCAATAGGCTGAATGATATACAATAAGATCTATCTATCTCTCTCTCTCTCTATATATATATATATATATATATATATAAAGGGTTTTCGAATAATTGAAGCGATTTTAAATGTGAATTAAGTATAAGTGTCTAAGGATTTTTCTCTTTTTCTTCAGATTTAACAACGTAAGTCTTTGAAAACTTCAACCATGGAAAAGTTAACAATCAAACAGCGTATTAAAGTTTTTGAAGCCTATTACGAAAATGGAAATTCAAAGAGAATCAGAATTTGAATGAGAATTTCCCAGGTGGCATCATCTCTCGAAATGTTTAAGGATTTTTTTTCTTTTACTTTCAGATTTGACAACGTAAGTCTTTGGCAGTTCCAACTATGGAAAGGTTAACAATCAAAAAACGTGTTAAATTCTTCGAAGCCTATTACGAAAATGGACATTCAAACAGAAATACGATAAGATCCCAGGTCGCATCATTTCTCGAAACATCGATGTCAATTGGCCACCGCGATCGTGCGACTTGACGTCTTCCTTTGGGGTCATCTCAAAAGTAAGGTCTATGCCAACAAGCCAACAAAAATTCAACATAAGAAGGATGAGATAATAAAACATATATTTGAGATCGAGGAGCAACTATGCAGAGACGCCATAAAAAATTTTGACCATCGAGTCTAGGTGAGTCGCCAAAGCCTTGGTGGATATTTAGGCGATATTATTTTTCACACATCATTGCCATGACATAAATAATATTATCCAATAGAGTAATAAATAAATTTTCACCAATAACACCGATTTATTTACTGCTGACTTTGATCCGTCTTAATGAAACACCCTTTATATATAATGATATAGAATAGACAGAGACATGTAATCGTTTATCTGTGGTATAAATTATTTCGGCTATTCTTCGTTTCAGTGGAGATTTAAATACTAATAAAATATATGAATCTTTAGCAAGCAGTGAATTAAGTTAATTAACGACTTTTTTTTAGATTTTCATTTTCACTTCCAGATGATAGTTTCACGTTAATCCGGATTTACTTTTTGCTATTGTTTCCATAAATTCTCAAATTGGAACAAAGAAATCATTTTTTTTTATCTTTCTCTCTCTATTTATCCATACCATATTCCTTTAGTACATTGTTGATCATTGTTCTCCACAGCTTCCTGTACTTTTTTGTTCTTCTCGACAATAACTTGATGCCGTCTCTTAGTCATTGTGATATTGTTCGGCCAACGTTCAAACACGTCAAACTGCTTTCCTGTTTCTAATGCCTTCGTTGTGTACTGTGAGTATTACATCTTCTAGTTGTTCTTACTTATATTTCGTAACAATATTCTGGGTCTCATCAACAGTTCCATTCTACCTACAACTTCCACCTTTGTCACATGTTCTCTCCCTGTTAGTTTTCAACATACATCACTTTACTCGTTGGGTTCAAGTTTTTTCTTCATCTTCAGGAATTAACCAGAAGAAGGCTCCGGAAAAGATGCTTTCCAAAGTACTACAATCTTAATCTGTTCAACTCTAGTTTTAACCGCTATCTTTCCTACATATCCTCATAAACAGCACTTCTTGCCTCCGCCTCCTTTTAATGTGACACAAGAAATAAATCAGTAACCCTCAACATTGAACTTCTCTTGGGCGTTGTATTGGGTGAGAAATGAGTGAAAAAAAAGATTCACTGCGGTATGGGATGTTACTTGAATCAGTCATGTCGGTAACAGTGTTGAAGACACAAATGTTTACCACGTTCTCATTAGTAAGTAGGAGCGAGTCGATAAAGCTCAAACTCACAGCTGATCTAAAAAATATGCCACAAAATCTGCTGTTCAATGGGGCAATGAATAGTTTACTAATTTTAAGGCATCCAAAACGAAACTTCTTTCTATTAATCATAAGTGTGACCCCTTTCCGTCTTCTACCAGCAAGGCTGATGCAAACCACAAAGAGAATGACTCGTTCTGCCTTATCGGGCTCACGTTCTCTGATTATATGCTGGAAAGACTATACTAAATCAATTGATAGATCTGCTGCTAAGGAATTTGATTCACTGTGTCACGCTAGACAGAGCTTTTTCTGCTAGATTCTATCTGACATATTTTCAAGTCTACAATTCGTCCAGGTATTTTTGGTATCGCTGCCATATATGGTGTGGTGATCCTGCTATATTTTGACAGATTCTTGATAAAATCCAAAGAAGAATCCGTAATATTATTGGTATTGTTTAGGCATCTCAGTTTCAGTCACTTTTCTACCGTCATAATGTAGCTTCTCTATGCATTTTCTATAAATACTTTCATAGTAATTGTTGGATGACCTTTCCGCTATGGTACCTAGTCTTTGTAAATTTAAGCACAATACTAGATTGATAAAAATGTTTCATTAATTCACTGTTGAATTATCTATAGATGCAA